TTTAAGTTCAGGCTACAGACGGACTCATCCTCTCTACTAGGGATTACTCCAAATCTTGAGGTTTCTAATTTCTTCAAACCCTTTTCTGTTTCCACACAGTTTTTTCCCCTTTGGGTGGAGTGGGCCTCCATTCCCACCCCTATGTTCCCTTCTCTGGGGCTTGCTGACCCTCCCCGGGCTGGGCTTGAGAATTCCCTTGAGGTCTCTCTCTCCCCTGTGCCCCCACACAAGGGTTTGCAGACTTCTCTCTCCCGCACTTCTGTGTTTTCATTCCTGCAGGTCTGATCAGAATCTTGCTGCTCTGGCTGCCCCGCTGCACACAAGTCTGTGAAGATCTGAAGCACATGCTGCCTAAGGAATTGCTGACAGGAGAAATCCAGGGGGCAGGAGGAATTGGAGTAGAATTGTGACTTTGGTTCTGCAGGAGAGAGAGAATTTTCTATTAGAGCGGCTATGAGTGAAGCTGCCTGCAAAGTGCTACCTTCTCTTATTACAGTACCTCAAGCTGTTCATACACCAGTGGAATACCAGCTGGAGTACCAGCAAGCTGGAGTACCAACAAGCTGTTCATACACACATGCACACACAAATATTTATGCTTTCCACTACTAGCTAAAAGGGCGATGGTTCAGAAGAGAGGTCCGGTGATTTCCTGGCAATCTGCACCTAGAGGGCCAACGGCTTGAGAACCCTAGGGAGCTGTGCTAATCCACCGTGATGAACACGTGTGTTCCAAGAGTTAGAATATTCTAGATGCGAACTAACAACAATCCTGTACTCACATGTGTCATCCACAATATAGCCAACTCCATTTGTTTCCCATGAACTGCTCACTCATGTTCCATTTTCATCAATTACCCTTCGTAGTGCCATCCAGAATGTTCTAGTGTGGCAGTGGTTAAAGCCCTGGGCTGCAATCCGAATAGATGATGGATCAAACCCAGCAACATCTTCATGGTAGAATGGTGTGGCAATGACCTTCTATAGAAATTTACAGCCTGGGAAACCTATGGGTCAGATGTACCATGTTGTGTGATGCTGCTATGAGTTGGTATCAACCTGATGACAATGGGTTTAGTTACTGTAATCCAGATAACCCACACTCAAAACCTTTTTAACATGTCAGCCAGATTAGAATTTTCCAAGGAAGGAAGGATCAGATACTGCTTCTGCTCTATAAACGTCTGGTACTACAGCTGGCCTACTAGTAGCTGCAGGCACTCACAGTGATGTATTCTGCCCCTATCATTTTGTGATTACTAGGCAATAACAGCTCCTAAGACTTATGTGGAAGTCTTAATGACTTTTCTTATTATAAAGCTGGATTTATAAAATATAAAGCCACTTACTCTGGTGGGCTTCAAATACAGGAAAGTCTCTGTGTGTAAATATAGGTAGATATGGATGCATACATGCATAGGATGGCACATGTACAAACATGTTTCTGTGTTTTATATATATTCATGTATGTAATAAAGCACACAAGGGGCACAATTAATGGAGGCATCCTAGACATATCCAAATAACTCCCTGGATTGGTACACCTAACTAAAGGAGTTAAAGTTGTCCCCATGGTAAAGGGACAACTGAGTCAACTGGCATGATGAGGATCATAAAGATGATGTTCTGAACCCTGGTTCGGTGAGTAGCTCTACGGCTCATTCTTTAGCACACAGTAGGCGCCTAATAAATATGTGCTGAGTTAAAAAAGAGAAAGCAGCACATCCTCACCCAAGGAGAGCAGATTCCTGTAGATCTCCAGCATCACGTCTCTGTACAGGGTCTTCTGCTCGGAGCTCAGTGTCTCCCATTCTGCCTCCGAGAAAAGCACAGTGACATCCTGGAGTGTGACTGGCTCCTAGAACGAATAAGAAATCATTGCAGGAAAACACCACCAACTCTCACCATCAGAGTTCACTGGGGGCCCTGAAGAATCTGCATCTGAGGAACTGCATCTAGTTCTTCCAGCAAGTTCTTCCCAATTCATGGACATGCCTGTGCCCCAAATTTGTGTAAACATCGATGGGGACCTAAAGTGATCCAGAACCACATCAGGAGATGAGCAACCCTTGGAAGAGTAGGAACTCCTGGGATCAGGTGCGCTGCCCTCAGCGGTCCTCTGAACTCAAAAGAACATCTTCTGTTTCAGGCAACCAGATCACAAACATCTTCTAAGAACAACAAAAGGGCAGTGACCCATCAGAACATCACCCTCAGTTTTCACAAGGAGAGTTTAACCGTTCACCCTCAAGAGTCTACACCCGACGAAGATCATCTGATTTTTTCTAGAAGACACAGTTCTTTTTACAAGTCCTTTGGTCGTGACTGTATACCTTGATCTGTGAGGAGCAAAGGGCAGAGGCGCTGCTGCAGATCATCAAACGCAGCAGAGAAGTAGGGGGCCTTAGGAGGAATGGTTGGTGTCAGAACAGGGTCAGGACAATGGAGGGTGGAAACATGGTGGCGCTTGCCTTGCAGAAATCAGCCTTGAGCTCGGTTCAGAGTTAGATGTTCCTTCTCCATTAAGTGGAGGTCAGCTGTAGCCTCCGTGTGCTTTTTCCCATGCAGACATACCAAGTTTGAGGCTGACATCCTCAAGGGAAAAGGGACACTCCAAATTTTTAGCCAGCAGGCAAGGGAGGGTGTTGTGTGGACTGTCAAACGTGAACTACAATCTGTCCATGTGGCAATCTGAAAGGCAGTACCTTTGAACTTTCTAGATCTGACCTAGTTCTAGGTGGATAGGGTCAGAGAAGGGAGATGAGTTTTCTTCTCCGGTAACGACTGACAGGATGGGAAACGCACAGGAGCAGTTCTTCTCTGCCCCGTAGGGGTGCTGTGAGTGGAAACAGACTCAGTGACAGTGAGAGTGAGTTGCTGAGAATCAGAGAAAGCGGTCCTGGGTGGGCAGCTGATGCCAGAAGGGAACAGGGAAGTGGAAAGTGGATATTCTGAGTTGACACTGTATCATATTCCCGGGACAAGATGCCATTATAGATGCCTGCTGAAGCTACATGTTGGTAGCTGAAAAATCTATTATTGTGCTATTTGTACTGTTTAAAAAGATCAAAACTTAAAAAGCAAAATGAAGCCCCGGACATATGACATAGGATATGATTGGGTATTATGCCCACAGATGCAAAGTGCTCTGGATGGGTAGTAGGTTACTACCACACCGTCAGTAGTTCAAAACCACTAGTCACTACAGGGGAGAAAGATGAGGCTCTAGATTTTAGTAAATATTGCTATGTTGGGGGACTGGGTCATTGCAAAAATCGATACCATCAGTGCAAATCGCCTTACATGGCAGGGGGGTTATTCACAATGATGTACTTTTTTGTTCATATGTGGTTTTGTTTTCTTGCCTTTCCCTTGTTTCATTTTTATTCTGTTTATTGGCTGGTTCATTTCTTGCTGGTGCTGATATAGTTGGTCCTGTCGGGGTTCGATTTGGTCATAAGACGACTGCCAAAATAAACATCATTCATGCACATGCCATCTGCTTAGATGGACTCTGGGCTTCTACTTTTTTTTGGAAGGTGGGGGGAGAGAAGAGGGGATTGTTACTTAACTCTAGCCCATATCCAAGAACAGTTTGTTCTGATAACATGGCCCTGGCTCCATACTTGCCTTCATGAAATGATCACTGACGATAAGGGGGCTACAGCAAAGTGTGGTGAAGAGAACAGATGGTGCCTGCATACCAATCCCAATAGGAGCCAGGGTCTACAAAGGCTTGTATTCAAATAAGCTGCCAACTCTGCTATCTATGCGAGGAAACAAATAAGTCCACATGGAAGGAGCACAGCTTGTGTGATTCAAAGATAGCAATAACAAAATTCAAATATGAGGAGAGGAAATATATCAGAGCCACAATCGTGAACACACACTTTGTGGAAGGCTGTAGAGCAGGGGTCCTCAAACTACAGCCTGCGGGCCACACGCGGCCTGCGGATGACATTTATCCTGTCCTCCGGGTATTTTTTCACTTCAAAATAAGATATGTGCAGTGTGCATAGGAATTTGTTCATAGTTATTTTTTTCTACTATAGTCCGGCCCTCCAAAGGGTCTGAGGGACAGTGAACTGGCCCCCTGTTCCAAAAGTTTGAGGACCCCTGCTGTGGAGGACCATGGAAGGCCAACACCCATCTGCAGAGTAGCTAATCAATTTAAGCCTCTCAAAGATCCCCTCTAGGCACAGGCAGAGGTTTGGAAAAGCCTTATTAGCAAACAGATCATTGTAATCCTGACTATACTGGATCAACCTGGTTAGTTGACCTCCTTCTAGAGGCAACCTGAATTTGTTCTAGGTGCTAAGATTTCTTGCTTGTTCCATGTCAAAAATTCCTTACCTGGCTTTTTAAATATCGATGGAGGTCTTTTCTTTCTCGCTCACTCATTGTTGGCACTTTATCTTTATATTACTATGCTTTTGTCCTTACCACTTGATTTTGTTTTTGTTCTGTATTGTTTGTTGAGTTTATCAGTTTATGAAACACAGAAGGAGTGGATGCATAGAGATAATAACTGATGCAATGGTTTGTAGGGGATACACAGGTTGGGAGTGGGGGCGGAGTGGGGGGAGGTGAGGGGACTTCTGGAGTACACAATGGAAGTAGGAGAGGGAGGAAGCAGTAGAACAGAGTGATTACACAACTGATTTTAAAGGTCATTTAATCATGGGGGGTGAAGGAAAATGTTCTGAAACTGATTGTGAAGAACCCTATGAATAACAATCAACTCAATGGTAGTGATGTGAATATTTGGTAGAGTAATTTAGTTAGCAGTACATTAAAATGTATAAATAATCTTTTTTAAAAATTTTTTTTAAATAATCTTTTTTAAAAAAATATTTGTTGCACTGTCCGACATCTCACTTTACCCACTTTCCTGTTGTCGTCCACCGGGGAGAAGGTCACAGGGAGAAGGGGGGAGCGGGGAGGGGAAAAAAATGGGGCACTCATGCCAGGGGCTTAAGTGGAGGGCAAATGTTTTGAGAATGATGAGGGCAATAAATGTACAAATGTGCTTTACACAACTGATGTATATATGGATTGTGATAAGAGTTATATGATCCCCTAATAAAATAATTTAAAAATATACAAATTTCTTCTTAGAATTCCCTGGATACCTAATATTAATCTTCGGTATGTTTCCCAACAACAATAAAATACAAAAATGACTAAGAGGTGAATGATGGGCAAACATGCTAGTGGGGTAAAAGGAAAAAAAGAAAAAGAGGAAAGTAGAAAAAAGAATAAATATATGTAAATATGTGTGTTTGCTTATATACAAGCAAATGCAACAAGGAAGCAGATGGACTTTGAGCCTCTACTTAAATCTTACCTCAATACAAGAACAGTTTGCTCTAATAATGAGGCACTGTATGATGCTCACCTTCCTGATGTGATCGCTGAAGACAAAATGGGTGCATAAGAAGTGTGGTGAAGAAAGCGCTTGTGCCTGGCTAGTAAAGGATATAATGTCTGGGGTCCTAAAGGCTTGTAGTTAAACAAGCAGCCATCTAGTAGGAAGCAACAAAGCCCACCAGCCTGTGTGATCATGAGGTTTCGATGGGAAGAAATACCAGAACTTCAAAAACAAGAAACCAAATTGATGTGAAGGGGCGTAGATTTAGTGGAGACCTTAAACTCCTCTGTAAAATAATGGACAGTTCTGCTCAGAAGGGCCACATGGAAGGGATAATAAATCCAGGGTGCAGTATAGTACTGATGTAACACCTAACTATCCTCTAGTTCTTAAATGGTCTTCCCCTTTTATTTACCTCATTAATCCTATTAGATTTACGTATGTTATTTGTATATTTAAGATCACTTGGTACATGGTGGTCAAGACCGACGACCCCTCAAAGAGAGTGACAGGAGTAATGGTTCCCTGAGGGTATCGGAAGAGAAGGGGTGCGGAGGAGAAATAGGGAACTGATAGCATTGATAACTGTATAACCCCACTCGATGGGATCGAACAACAGAACAGTGTGTAAACAGATACACTGGATTGTGTAAGACAAGGGGAAAAAACTATTATAGGCAACAAAACAAAAATAAGAAGGGTTCCTGAGGGAGAAGGGGGAGAAGGGAGAAGGGGAGCTGATATCAAGGAGTTCAAGAAGAAAGAAAATGTTTTCAAACTGAATGAGGTAGCAATTATAAAATACTGCTTGATGTAATTGAACTAAGGAATGTCATGATATCTCAAAGACCTCCCAATAAAATGACAAAAAAACCAACAAACCACAAAGAGACTAATACAGCGCATAGCATGAACTGTGTAAATGGTGGTGGCCTTCTCTTATGGTAAGACAGAGAAGATAGGGCTATTCTGTAGAAATGAAACAGCAGTTCAGAAAAATGAACTGATTAGAACTCACCAGTATCTGGGGCTTCTGCTTTTTCTCCTGGGGCCAGCTGGTGTCATTAGAAGGCAAACCTAAGGGAAGAAAGGAGCTGGGAGGTAGCAGACCCAGAGGGACCTGTCAGTAGTTCTGATCATTGGAGGAAAAGCTGGAGCTGTACTCAGCGGTGGCCTCTACAGGTTCTCCCCTGAATCTGGAGCCTAGGGCCCCTCCTCACCTCCCCAGACCCTGGACAACTCTCACCTTTTGTGAGCTTCTTCATGGTGTCCGTATCGTCCCTGTCCCTTCAGGCCAAGGTCTTCCAGGCCTCTCTCGCTGAGTGTAAGAACCAGGACACGGAAGGCCCCCAGGCAGTGCAGTGGGTGCCTGGAAATTCTGCCACGGGCCCAGATGGAAGTTATTTCATTTCCAGGTGGGTCTCTGCTGCCTGTGGGGGTGAAGCTGTCAGGCCTCACGGAGGAAAGCCTCTCTGGCTTTCAGGTACCCAGGACCTGTGGGGTGGAGAGGCAATTTCATGCTGCTGGGTCCTTTCTTGTGAGCTCGAAGCCCAGGACTCTTCACAGGGACCCGGCCTCTCCCATTGTCCCCGGTCAACAGGCAGAGGAGTCGATCTACTTGAGTCTCTGGGTTTTCTACCTGATTCATGTCTGGTCTAGACGCCCTCACGTCTGTTCCCTGACACTCCCTCTGTCCTGCCCCCTCCGCACCCAAGCAGCTCAGATTGAAGTGGGGAGGATACAGACAGAGCAGCTGATGTCAGCGGGTCTGACAGAGTGCAACTACTGTTAACTTTCACAAGCAGTGTCTGAGAGGGACTGCCACCGGATGATAATCACTTCTGTCACCCTGGACCAGAAAAGGCCCACACTGGTGGCTGAGGACCAAAAGGAAGCCAGCTCAAAGCCTCACCTATCAGTGGTGAGTGAGAACACACCCTCCGCCAAGCCCCTACTCCATGTGATGGTAGTGGGGGGAGGCAGGGGCAGGTGGGAATATGCTACATTGAATCCTAGATAATAAAAAAAAATCCTAGATGAACATCACCCTCACGTGTGGCATTCTTTGATTGCAGAGACCAGCTAGACGAGCAGCATGTCCCTTGCCAGCAAGCCATGGGCAAGTGCAACTCCTTCCAGGAGCATGTGCAATGCTCCCGTCTGTTCTCTGGACACACAAGAACTTCCTTCTGATCAAGGAATGATCTGTCTCACATGTCTTCTAGGTGAACGGTGACTCAGATCAAGTACCCGGCTGGGCACAACGTCCTCCTTTTTGGATATTCTGTCCCACTCTGGCCCTGACAACCCCCTTCTCTCTGGTTCTTTCTCTTCCTCCTTTTTGCTTTCCTTTTCTTTTTCCAAGGTTTTCCTTTTACGTTCTCTCTTTTCTTCTTTTTCACCATCTCAGGTCAAGATTGGGGGGCAGGAGGGAGCATCTATGTCTCAGAGAAGGCATTTCCCCTTCCCTTAGTGGGTAAAGGGGGAGAAGCAACTCCCTTTGGGAAAAAGTGCTTAACAATACTTAATAGACCTCAAAGGGAGAATAAGCCCAGTATTGAGTTAATACTTAAGACACTGTGGACCTAGTTTTTATCCAGCCTGTGGTGACCCCGGGCATGTGCTATATACGACTGTCACCTTGGACTCTGTGCTTTCAAGGACACACCAGGACTCAATGTGGAAAACCTCACTGAAGGAAAGGGGCATTACCTCAAACTTACCTGTAGTCCTGGGACTTAAGCCTGATAGTCCCAGGTATGAGAAGAAATGAATGACTGTAGATCCTAGGTCATATATATTTACTATTTTCATGCCTTTCTTGCTTTAGTATGACGTGCTAATTTGATAGGCATGTTTCTGTTGGAAATTTTGCCCTATCACCAACTGCCATGGTCAATGTAAATCATGCTCCATCATCTAAAAGTTTAATCTGTACAAATGAACAATTCATGGACTGAGGTTCACGCCATACCTGTATACCTTACTTTCCTGAACAGTGTGTTAAATTCTATTCCACTTTTTAAAAAAAATTCTATTCCACTGGATACATTAACTACACTATCAACAGATTACTTTATGCCCAGGTGATGATTAATCATTTTTCTCTGTCATTAAATGATAATGAGGTCTTTAAATGAACTGGATCCATTTATAAATCATAGATATGTGAATGGATTTGGGGCTTGCACTTCATTCTAGCCCCAATATAAGAACACTTAGTTCTTGTGACATGACCTTGGCTGATGTTCACCTCATGAAGAGATGACTGAATATATGGATGCCACAGCCAAGTGTCGTGAAAGCACCAGATGGTGTCCAGTTATCAAAAGTAATAGCATCTGGGCTCTTAAAGATTTATCTTCAAATAAGCAGCCATCTAAGTGAGGTCAAGGAAGTACACATGGAAGAAACACATGTGCTTGTGTGATGCAAAGGTTTGCATAATAAAATCTACATCTGAAAGAAGGAATGGTGACAGAGCTTAAATTGTCAATACTCAATTTGCAGAAGCAATGGATGATGATGGGAGACCAGAACACAGGGTCCCTTAAGCCTCTGGTGAATCCCCTCCAAAAGTATAGGAAGGTGCATGGCCTTGCTATTAGACAGAGAATATTGTAAACTGGATTATTTGCTTCTTCTTTGACCCATTTTAAATTTGTTCTAGTTTTTAATATTTCCTGCTTTTTTCTCAATTGATGTTTTTTTATTCCTGTTTCTTTTGATATAGCTATTGGTCTTTTCCTGCTGACCTTTTTTTGTTTTCTATTTAGAAGTTTTCCAGTATATGAAGATCAGCATTGGTAAATCTATAGAGACAGTAACTGGAGTAATCGTTCTTGGGGACGGAAATAGGGAGCTAATAATGAATACAACAAGGAAGAAAATGTTTTAGAACTGATTATAGTGAGGATTATACAACTCTTTTTAATACGGCTGACGTATGGAAGTGAATGACACGGGAATTCTGTCTCAAAACGATTTGTATTTTAAAAAGAATTGAAGCACCTATATTTGAACTCCAGCTATGGGTTGCAGCATTTATAGGCAGTGCGGTCACTGACGATGCCAGTAGTGAATGATCCCTGTGGGACGTGACAGTTCTCAAGGTGTACTCATACAACGGGGTAAGAAGAGACTGATGAAACAAGAATGGCTATGAATTAATAAATGCCGAGGCAGGAGGTGGTTCCATGGAATTGACATCAGAGCATAAAATCTAAAAGCATTTGGTTCATGAGGGACTGTGGTCTACACTGGGAGCCCTGACTCCATGCAGTGCCTTCATATAAATTTACCCTACATTTAGGTCCCTAGAGTACTTCCCAGTGCTTTGGAATATTAAAACACAATGTGGCCAATTTGGACAAAGTACAAGAGTCAGTTTGCATAAGAAAGACTATGGATGAAAGTGGATTGCAAGTCCAACAAGTCAGTCTGAGAGGTGTTTTTCCCACTATAGGAGCAGCTTCTCTCACACAAAGAATTAAGTAATTTGGAAGAAAAATCTGGCAATCTACTCCTAAAATAACTAGCCTGTGAAAATCCTACGGAGCACAGTTCTACTCTGCTAGGCACAGGGTCTCCTGATGCATTGCCATCAACTCCACAGGAATGGGTCTGGTTTGACCTCCAGGCACAGATGCTGGGCTGGGGAAATTCTTGGGGTCGGTAATTGGCTGTTGGAGGGAGTCTACTGAGTCAGACAGAGTCAGCCATCACTACACCCTGGCCCGACCCTGGGATACTTGTCCATCCTGGAAGGGATCATGTGAAGCACAGCATAGGCCCTGCCCCAACACTGCTAAAGTCTCCATGCTAAAAACCAACCGCCATTTAGCAGATTTTTGATATTCTGGAAGATTAGAGATACACGGTTGTCTCCAGGCAATACCTCCCCTCAAGGAAAATTAGCTGGCCATGCCACAATAAAGGGGTTTGGAGGAAATCCGGCACCATTACAAACCTATGGGAGATGATCCAAAGCTGCGCACGCACACACCAAGGTCACCTAGGCCTGATGATGAAGGTCAACCTGGGCATCAACACTAGAAACCAGCAACCCCAAGTCATACCAGCCCCTAAAATCAGCTACTACGATTCGCCAATACCCCCAACCATGTCCCCACCTCCCTCACCTGGGGGTAGGATGGGAGACAGTAGAAACTGAAGGCAGGTGCTCTCTTTCTGTTCAGAGGTAGCTGGCAGTTCCAGATAAAATTGTTACTAACTTTCCACGTTGCAAAACAGCCAAACAGCGATGGAAAATTCCCCAACTGCTTTTACCTCAGGCAAGTGGTTGGTATAAAACTCTTCCCTCTCCCTCCCTGGCAGTGCAACTTCTCCGGCCCTAGCTAGGGACCTGTGAACCTCTCCAGGAGCTGAGGAATAAAACTTTAAAAATATTTTCTGTCTTCGCCCCTTTCTTTCCCTCCATCGCCAAATTATAGTGAATTTCCTAGACTTTAGCTATTCATGGGAGGAGAAAGCCCATCTTTGTCTTGGGAAGTGGATGGTGGTTTTCACTTGCTGATCTTGTGGTTCGCAGCGCATAGTGTAACTCACTATGTCACCAGGACATGAGTGGGCTTTTTGGTTTCAAAGGGGAGTTGGCCAGCCCTGCTAACTATCTCAGTAGCAACAAAATAAGGTTTCCAAATGTTACAAGTATCCCCGTTGGTTTCCTGAATAGAACATGCTTGAAGGTTTGGACTTTGTTCAGTTTTTTCAATACAATCACAAGGAAAATTGAATAAAAGTCACAAGAAGGGATTAGCCAGTCCTTCTGTTAAAATCTCTAGGAACTGCATGCAGACCTGGCAGGCTCTCTCACATGCCTAAGATGTTAGGCAGAAACTGGAGGTTGGGCAAGCAGGAGGAAAAGACCTGGAGCAAGTGAAAAACACTCCAAGGACTGCCCAAAAAAAACAAGCCTCCCTCTCCCTATTGGTGACCTTCCAAGGCCAGATTCAGGAGGCTAACCATTGCAGATAACATTGAACATTGTTGCTTAGTCCCAGCTTCGCAGACAGCCAAATTGTCTGGCCGGATCAATATCAGGCCAGTTCCTAGTGGCCACAGTGATTGACCTCTGGATTTGCCCCACCCCCTTGTGAAGCTGACCAGAGCTGGCTGATGCAACTATCTCCTAATCTTGCATTTAACACCACGTGAGCGCAGACCACCCGAACCAGGAAGACACCTCTGCCTGGCCAGAAACCCGGACATGCCTGTGTCCTCCAACCCCTGACTAATTAATACGGGCTTAATGCAGCTCAGCTACAAGTTCCCCAGCAATATAAGTACCACCCCTGTAGCCTGGGGCACGACTCCCTCAGCCCAGACAACGTGGACTGTGGGACCTCGCCCAGGCTGGGTTTTTCTCCCTAATAAAGCCTACTTGCTTAAAATTGGGCGGATTTGATATCTGGTGCCTCTTGACCACCTAACACAAATCACATGGAAAATTCCCCAGCTACTCCCTCCCCAAGACCCGGGCTATAAAACTCTTCACCTCTCGCCAGGACAGTGCGACTTCTCTGGCCCCAACTAGCGACCCATGAGTCTCACACAGGAGTTCTGAAGTAAAACTCTAAAACTATTTGTGAGGGGTCCCTGAGGGTACAAGAATGAGGTCAGGCCAGAAAAGAGCAAGCAGGTTTAATCTGTGCACCCGGACGAGGTTCACAGGTCCTAGCGAGGAGCCAGTGGAGTCACACCCATCTGTGGTGAAGAGCAGTTTTTATGCTGGTCAGGAAGGGAAACGAAAAGGGGGGCAAGAGCTGCAGCTGCAGGGGCTTTCCTTCCGCTGCAGGAATTTTGTTCCAATTCCGTGAAATTCGGAGATAGTCTTGATCTTTCCACCTGATTCCCAGAAGATGGCTTATTGTCCTAGAGCCCTTTGAAGCTAGCTGTCTGAGTCCCATAAGAGCAGGTCAAGCTGTTCCTAAAATCCCCGACCTGTGCCTGACCCAACACTGTTTTCTGCCTTTGCCCCTTTTCTTTCTTTCCATCGCCAAAACTGAGAGGTAAACTGAGGCACAAGGACAAACAAGAAGAAAAGCTAAGAGGCTGTCACAGCTCGTTATTAGAAAAGAAGTTCCCGGATGAGGTTCCATGGTCTAGCAAGTAGCCCAGGGAAGTTGTGCCCAGTGAGGAGAGTGGTGGGTTTTTAAAGACAGGGGCCGAGGAGGGTCCCTTTGGGAAGGGGTTGGGGCTGCAGCTGCTGGGGATTTTCCACTACTGTCATGTTTTTCCTTAGTCTAACTGCTCAGTGGTTGCATGTGGGGAGGAAAGGCGGTTGTTCTTGGAGCCAATTCCGAAAACTGTCCATCAGCTTTGTTTTCTGGTATGTGCAGGGAGAAGGGTTGAGGCCCTTGT